CAGGAATAGGAATGTTCCTTCCTACAGTAGCAGCTAGGTCTATTTAACACCTCTATCTTGTGTTACTTTAGAAAATTCCTGGCACACAAATAAATGAGGAAAACGCAGAGGTTCTGGGTCGTCTGGTCTGTGACCTGGGTGGAGAATACATTACAAGTTCTGGTGGGATTTTGCTGAAGCAATTAAGCCAGTGTGAATCTTTCCTGCCTGATCAAGAGGAGGCTATTAGGAGTGTTGTTCGCAGTGGAAACACTACATTTGGGTATGATTTTTTTCTTCTGGGCATGAGCAAAACACCTCAGATAAAACAAAGCCCTTGTCCTGTTGAGACCTGAGTGAACTCCAGCCAGCCAGCTTGATCAAAACCTTAAATATTTTGTTGTTTTTGAATTTTGCATTGGGCCTTTTACATCATCTTATTTGAACTTCTTTAGCTTGGCTGGAATTCTTCTGGAAAATATATTGTTACCTGTGTCTTGCCTGCTGCAGTTATAAAAGCCTTTTCTCTGGCCTGTTTTTCAATAATGAAACTTCTCTGAGACTGTCCTGATGAACTGAGCTGGGCTCTAGCTGTTTATTAACCACTGGCTCTGAGAAGACTTTTTGTTTCCACTACTCAAACTGACAGATGTTTGATAAATCCCTGAATCTCTCAGAGTTTCTTGGCTATATCTAGCAAATACATTGTCCAGGAGAGAGAAAATATTTTCCATCCCTATTTCAAATGTTCTGAGATTTTAGCACTGGATGAGTAATAGTGAGCAATAGATATACATTATTTTCTTAAGCTTGAAATCCAAGTATCTGTTCTGTGTCATTTTCCCATCCTACTGCCCCTATTCATGGTACTGACAGTTGCTTCTGCTCTTCTGGAATGAAGTTTCGTGTAGCAGGAAGTGATCAAGAAAACTTTAGGATGGAAATCTTCTGTTTCATTACTAACAGTGTTACAAGGACATAATTCTGGCAGCAGTGGGGTTTTTTTTGTTTTTGTTTTTTGTTTTTTTGCTTTCTTGAAATCTGATCCCTACTGATTTTTATATTCAGGCCTCCTTCAATGTGGTCAGCTTCTACCTTGAACGAGCTCAGTGGATTGATTCCTGTGTTTGATCACAGCATCTTGCAGAAGATCCCCAAGGTGGGTTACAAATAGGGAAGTGGGGTGTTTGGGAAGCACTCCTAGTTCCTGCAGTGTGGAAGAAGTATTCTAGATCAGTGGTTCCCAGACTGTGTTACATGAGGATGACAGGGACTGTTCAGCAGGTAAGTTATCAGCAGTGTCTTCAGTTAAAAGCCTGGTGCCAGGTGATCTACAAAGGATGAGGGTTGGTCAGGCTAGAAAGCTGGCAACTGCCAATCTAGATCACTGTCGCTTTCTTTAACTATCTGATGAGCACCAGAGGTGGAAAGCAGTGCTAACTATATACGGTGTTTTTTGGGAGACAGTCATTTCTGGGATGTGGAATATGATAGGGTTTAAGCATTTAAAAATTTGCCTTTAGCTTACCAGGGAAAGGTCTCTAGATTTACAGCAGGTGGCCTGCTGCCCTTAGTACTTCAACAGTAAGGTTTCTTGTCTATGTGAGTAGGAACTTGTTCTGCAGGTGAAATGCCCAGGATTTGCAAAATCTGCCTGATGAAAAGTTTTCTTTGCAGAATGTTTTAACCCTTTGGCTGAAAAACTTTGCCTATGATTCATCTCTGTCGAGGGAACAGCTGGCCTCCATCGTCGAAGAACTCCTGCCTTCTCGGCATAAGCGTGCTGCTGGTATGGGAGCTTTTACTGACCAGTAATGGCAGTGTTCCCTCTGATGTCAGGGTTGGCCCTAGTTCTTGTGGGACTCCCTGAACGTGTCTGTCTTGAGCTATGAAACTCTTAGTGGTAGGTTGCCCAGGAGGAGGGCGGAACCATAACTCCACCTTTGTGAATCTCCAGGAAGGGAACATTCAAAGTTTAAAGCAAAAGAATGTAATGCTGGGCACGTTTGATACTTGCTTCAACAGGATGCCCATCTGACAAGACGATAACACAAGAAGTTCTTGAGGATGATCTGATGCCTATTTACTATACCCCTGAGGAGTTGCATGCTTGCTTGAAGAATGTCTCTCTGGTGAATCACCTCTCTCAGATACTGAGCTACCCCTTCTCTGTTCAGCAATTAGCTGTGCTGAAGAGGAATCTCGATGAGGTAATGGCAGGCTGATGAATGTAGGATTACCTATCAATGAGGTTTCTCAGCAACTTGTCCAGTTGAGTTTTAGTATCTCCAAGGATGGAGACTCCACCATTTCTCTGGGCTCCTGTTCCAGTGTTTGAGCACCTTTACCGTGAAAATATTTTTCATAATACCAAAATTTCCCTTGCCTGTTGACCCTCATCCTTTCACTGTGCAGCTCTGAGAAGAGTCTGGCTCCATTCTCCAATATCCCATTAGGTAGTTGAAGATAGTGATAAAATCCTCTCCTAGCCTTCTCTTGTTCAGACTGTGCTCCAGCCCCCAAGCATCTTGGCTCTCTGCTAGACTTGCTCCAGTTTAGGGGAGTTTTTCTTGTGCCGTGGAGCCCAAAACTGGATGTAGTTCCACAGGGTCTCACAAGTGCCAGACAGAGGGGAATATTCACTTCCTTCAACCCGCTGGCTGCGCTGTTACTAGTGAAGCCCAGTATTTGATTAGCCTTCACCACTGCAAGGGCACACTGTCAAATCAGGTCCATGTTGAGTCATTTCATGTTGCTGCAGGTGTCATTCGCTCCCTGGGGTCTGCTTGCCTGGGCTGCCAAGCAGAAAAGGACAGATGCTCGTATATTCTCACTGGCTTTAGTTTATTTTTTGCTTGCAGACCTTTTATGCTTTTCCACACCAGTTTTGCAAAGAGCATAAATTCATCATCACAGAGATGATAATGAGTGTCCATACCAATAACAACAGTCTTTCCACAGACATATCCTGATGGGTATCCTGAAAGTCTCCTCCCCAAACTGGGCCCCCTGGCTCCTTTCCTCACCTCTGAGGACATTAGCAAATGGAAGATAAGTTCAGCTGACACGCTGGCTGCCTTGCTCCGGGATCAGCCCTCTGACAGAGAGGTGGGTATTTGGGTTTACTTTCCTGCCCATGTTTGCTTCCTGTTTTGGGAGCTGCTGATTTAGGTCTAGCTTGGTGGGTTAAAGGATGATTGGCCCATCCTTCATGTCCAAACAAATACATTTGAAATGATTTCAATTTTATTTTAGTAATTATTGCATTTGTTTCTCTTCTGAGGATAAAAACATAAATTCTGGTTCCAGTTAAAAGAAATAAATAAATATGTGCTTTTAGGCTGCTGCAATGATAAAACGATATGTTACCTTGGGAAATCGTTTGAACGCCACTGCGCTGAACGCAATTGGTACGAAATATGTGTGCCTTCTAAATGCAACTGAGTTGAACGCGATAGACTCCAACAGCTTGAAGTGAGTAAAGTATTGTAGTGCTCCTTCACAGAATCACAGAATGATTGAGGTTGGAAGGGACCTTTGGAGATCATCTAGTCCAACCCCCCTGCTCAAGCAGGGACCTCTAGAGCACGTTGCCCAGGATCATGCCCAGGCAGGTTTTGAATATCTCCAGCGAAGGAGACTCCACAACCTCTCTGGGCAACCTGTGCCAGTGCTCAGGCACCCTCACAGTCAACGCGTTTTTCCTCAGGTTCAGATGGAACTTCCTGTGGTTCAGTTTCTGCCCGTTGCCTCTTGTCCTGTCACTGGGCACCATGAAGAAGAGTTTGGTCCCATCCTCTTGACACCTTCCTATCAAATACCTGTACACAGTGATGAGATCGCCTCTCAGTCTTCTCTTCTCCAGGCTGAACAGGCCCAGCTCTCTCAGCCTTTCTTCAAGGGAGAGATGCTCCAGTCCCCTCCTCATCTTTGTAGCCCTCTGCTGGACTCTCTCCAGCAGTGCCATGTCTCTCTTGTACTGGGGAGCCCAGAACTGGACACAGTACTCCAGGTGAGGCCTCCCCAGGGCTGAGTAGAGGGGCAGGAGCACCTCCCTCCGCCTGCTGGCAGCACTCTTCCTCATGCACCTCAGGATGCCATTGGCCTTCTTGGCCACAAGGCACACTGCTGGCTCATGTTTAACTTGTTGTCCACCAACACTCCCAGGTCCTTCTCTGCAGAGCTATTTTCCAGCAGGTCAGACCCCAGCCTGTCCTGGTGCATGGGATTATTCCTGCCTAGGTGCAGGACCTTGCACTTGCCTTTGTTGAACTTCATGAGGTTCCTCTCCGCCCAGCTCTCCCGCCTGTCCAGGTCCCTCTGAATGGCAGCAGAGTCTTCTGGTGTGTTAGCCTCTCCCCCCAGTTTAGTCTCATCAGCAAACTTGCTGAGGGTGCACTCTGTCATTGATGAATACATTGAGCAAGACTGGACCCAGGACTGACCCCTGGGGGACATTGCTAGCTACTTGCCTCTTTCAAAAGCACCTTCCCATCAGCAAGTGCAGGTTCCTTTTCTGTCCAGCTGGTGAAAGGAAATCTAGGAAGCAACTTTAGTACCTGTTCCACGTCCAGGTTTAAAAGCCTGCTGTTCTTAGTTCTACGAGGAAGGGCTCAGATTTGCAGTCAAATTTTCTTTAATATACCTCAGCTGACAATGGTAAAGATGTGTGCGTGTTTTTATCTGTGTGCGAAAGAGTTAATGAAAATTAATTCAGCTTCCTTTGAAAGAGGGCTAAATGAAATTAATTAAATATTATATCTTTACAAGCACACAGGCTTGTAATGTGCTATCTGAGCCATGACACCTTATCAGACATACTATTTTCATCAGGAAACTGAGTCATTATTTGTTCATTTAGCTTTTCTCTGTACCTCATCTATCCACTGGGAAATGCCCAGGATTGTACTGGAGGAGAAGGTAACCTATCCCATGTAGAGAAGCTCAGAGATGTTCAAAATGTATTCATATTTCAATTATTTTACTGAAAGCATTAAAATAATAAATAATAAAAACCTTTCTTTCCATAAATCTTCATTTTTCTGCAGAATAGCATCTCTTGATCCTTCAGCCTGTTCACAGCTTACTAAAGACATCTTGTACCAAAAAGCAAAACGTGCTCTCTCAGACCAGCACAATTCACGTGCTTACTATGCTCTCATCAAACCATATCTAGGTAAGTAAAAGAAAAGCATGTTACAGGGAAAGA